TGAATAGGTAAAGTCAGGGATTCATTGAAACCGGGAGGTTCAAACCGAGTTCAATACGGTTTCAAATATAAAAAAAACTGGGTATTTTTATATCTATTAATTGTTTAGTACTAATTTTTTTAAGTACAATAAAAATATGAGAATTTGTATAATACTAATAACTTCTTTACAAAAAAGAATAAAAAATGACTAATATTTAATATTAAAAATCAACTAATGACCTATAAAGTATAATATATTTCTATTTCAAAATTTTACAATTTTAATTTTACTAAAAAAGAAAAATATGTTTGGTAATACAAAAAAAAAAAAAAAGGTGCATTATAAATAGGGCTGTAATAGAAAAAAATTATTTTGTTTTTACAAAAAATAATAATAATTTCGAAAAAAATAAACATCCAATCAAATTAAAATCTCATATCTTCACCTGCTCGAGAGAGCGCGCGTAGAGCCAGGTCAAAAAACACTTTATCTTCTCTTTGTCCTTTCGTTTCTTTTTCCCATCAACACAGGCTTGCTTCTTACTGCAATTATGCACAAAAAACTTTTCTAATAAAAACTCTCTTTCTCTCTTCTTTATCATCGTCTAGAAATTCACATCAAATCCCTTCTTTTTTGCCAATTCCTAACAACCCCTATTCAACCCTCTTCTCGCAAGTCTGGAATCATTCTGCTATTGGTGAAAGGGGTCTTTTTTTCTTTTTTTTTCAAAAAGAAAACCCCTTCATTTGTGAATCTTATAGACATAAAAAAAAGAATAATCATACCAAGTCACCATTAGAAACCCATAATCAAAAATCCTTAACTCTTTTTGATTTTGAAAATAAGTCCTAAGCGTCTCAATCAATCCAAACAAACAATAAAGCCATTAGTCAATAATGAAAAAGGAAAGTCAAGAAATTATTTCATCTAAACGAAGCGTGCTGAAGAAGAAAGACAAATTTTCAAGAAATCTCTTTCTAATTTTGAATTAAACCGGATATTTTTTGCGGCTATTCGTTTTATCTGGTTTTGTCCCACGGTTATTCAGTTTCTCAGCTAGTCTCTGGTCTAGCTTTTCTAGTTTCTAGGTTTTAATTAGCTAAACTCGGGCCGAATTGTGATTCGGTTTCAATCTAAAACTCGGTACGGACCGTATGGTATTAAAGGACAATTTCTATTAGTCGTAATTTTATTAATATTGATATAATAAAATAACAAATTGATATCCTAATATAGAATAGTATTTAACATATCAAATTTACCAATTAGAACGAGATTAAATTTATAATATTAATAAAAAAAAGAGTTACCCATAAACGGGATTCAATGAATTTTAATATCTTTATATTATAATCTATATTTAACATTATTAAGATACTTAAATCATTGCTATTTTTATATCGTATAGGAATTTCAAAAGTTTCTAATTAGAATATTGCATTAAATATATTTTAAAATGATATTAATCAACCAATAAAATATTAATAAAATTAAGAGTTTTCTAATTAGAATAAGACTTAAATATTTTCCTCCAATCACACCAAAATTAAAATTAGAAGTCTGCAGAAGGCATTTTCGGAAACTCATTGTTCCCCCATTATTCGCCACTCTATATATACATAATATAATATTATATATATATATAATTTAGGCTATTCTTATTACATTCAAAAAAAAATTATGGATTTATCTACTATTTATAAATTTGAATAGTGAAATTTCCATATGTTCTTCTTACTCACACACTATTTAAAACTAAAAAAAGGTAAAAAATAAAAGATATGTATCTTGAAAATCATTTAATCTTTACCATCCAAAATAAATTTTACAACTTTTATAATAATAAAAAATATTAAATAAAAAGGAAGCAAGAAAAAGAAGAACAAGGGAAGTGTGAAGCATGGTCAAAGGATTTGGCGGAGAAACAAGATATACACAGAAAAGTTTGAATTTTGGTTCATCTAACCTTTAGCAACAGAATAAAGATTTTCTGTTGCTAACTGTACAAACTCTCAACGACGGAAGGAAAATCTAATGATTTAGGTTATAACTTTAAAACGGGGAAAAAAATTTCCGGTTTTGCTTAACACATTTGTTAGAACCTTGTTCAACTCTTAGGCAACGGAAAAAATAATCTGAAAACAAGATTTGTTAATTAGTAAATAATAATGATGATTTAAGAAAAAATTAAAAAAAATCAATCTAAATTAAGAAAATTATTATTATAATTTTTAATCGATAAAACAAAATTAAAATTTTTCTAATTAGAGAGTCCATCTCTTTAGGATATTTCATGAATGCTATTTTAGAAAAGAAACAAACTTATAAAGTGTGTAATTTTTTATTATTACTAAATAAATTACAGTTTAACTTTTATAAATCTATAATCTATATTATAAAAAACTATTAAATAAAACATTATTTCTATAATTTGTACAATAGAAGAGCAGGGTTAAGGTTATATCATTACCACAAGAAAAAGACATGAATTGGCAAACTCCCAATAATTTTCAAATTAGCAAAAGCTGATATTAATCTTTGATAGTCAAAGCAACACCTATCTTGTTTAATAGTCAAAAGTAAACAAAATTCCTCGTATAACAAAAAAGCAATTAAAAAAACTAAACATATATATAATTGGTTGATGACAAATTCTCTAATAGAATTGCTTGATAGTCAAAAGCAACAAATTTTTTATAGTCAAAAGTAACAAATTCTCGATAACAAAAAGCAATTAAAACTAAACATATATATAATGGTTTGATGGGACAAATTCCTAATTAGAATGTGATTAAAATTTTAATATTAATATAATAAAAATAATAACTTGATATTATAATTATAATAGGATTAGTAATGATATTTTTGTCAATTCATAAACTTAACAGGGGCATTTTAGGAACCCAATGTTCCCCTCTCATTCATACTTTTATATATACTAGTCTTTTTTATGACGTGCGTTGCATGTTGATTATGCTTATTATATACTTATTTTTCACACTCTTTTAATTTTTTTTATCTACATAATATTAAACAATAAGTTTTTATTTAGATAAAATAAATATAATTGGTTAATTTGTATTAGACTTTGCTATATAAGCTACTTGTAATGCTACTTATTAAGTACTTAATTTATTTTTATATAATGAAAGTTGTTTCAAAATAAATTTCAACTTCATTCCTAAACTTAATTTTTGGTCTCTAATTTATAAATGCAGATTTTTAAAACCCTACTAGGTGCCGAAAAAGAAAATCAAATCATCACTCAATTTCCAACCCCTGCCCTATCGATATACAAATATAATGAAAACTAAGAATAAATTATTTTTTACTACTAGGTTAAAAAAAAATAAAAAAAATCAAATTGTAAAATTAGTAAAATGAAAAATTAGAATTGAAAAAACTTTAATTTAATTTTAATTTAAGTTGTTATTTTCTTTTGTAATTAATTAATGCAGTTAATTCAATCAAAACAAGGTAATCGTACACGCACATAAAGCATGCAAAAGCTCTTCGCCTCATGGAAATAGGATGCAAATTAATATTTCTAATTTCATCATCAAAAAGCCTGAAGACAGTAACAATAATAAAATCAGAATATTTAAAAAATAAAATATAAAAATTTTTAAACAGTCACATTATCATATATATTTATTAAAAAATAAATTATAAAAGATAAAACTTAAAATTTTAAAATTATTAATTATTAATATGTATTTATTTAAAAAATAATGTTTATAAGTTTTATACAATCCACCAATTAAATGAAATTTTCTAATTCGCTATGACTAAGACTATTTTAGAATATTTCAAATTTCATTAAAGACAATATAGAAAATCTTATTATTCACTCTATTTCCACGTTTAAATATAGTATAGATAGATTGTAGATATGGAGCAATTACAATCAAGGTAAGTGGCATTCCTGTATTTATCTCCTGTTGGCTAATTGTTTGCCATCTAATTATATTATTTTTCCAATTCTCAATATTATATTTAATATTTATTGCTCTACTCATTGATATAATAATATATTATTCGATTGTTATAATCATGTCCATATATGTGGTGCAACTGCGAATGCATGAATGATTAAGTAAGATTTGACAGTTTGTGGTATTAGTAATTAAATATGACGAAAATAATTAAAATTGATAATTGGCTACTTGGAGACATGGGTGTTTCCTTTATAACACTCACTCCTTAATTCAATTCACTCGAAAAACATATTGAGCTTAACTTTCATTTACTCGCACTCATCCCATATTTTGATATCTTCACAAAATCCTTTACTTCAGCAATGCAATAACCTAGGATAATGTTGTGTTACATGCAAACATAAGTTGGACTTTGGAGTTAAATTTTTGTAAGCTACTAACCAGTGGCATCAAAGGTGTCTATCTAGCAACCAAAGTTTTCTCATTCTCTCCCTTCCTCTTTCTTTTCTATAAACCCTAACTTTTTTCTTTTCCTTTTCTATATTCCTTTCTTATTTGTTTCCGAAAAATAACTGCCACAAAATATTTTCAAATGATGAATCTATTATTCTTTTCCCCAAATCTTTTTGCCTCAATCTTCTTTCTACCTGTTGCGTTTTTGTTGTTGTGATTCTTTCTTCTTTCTTCTTTTTAAATTATTAAAGAATTTTAAAAAAAAATTCTAAAAAGCAGCAATAGTGTCGAATTCAAAGCTTCTTACTCAATTTTATGATGGATGCATGATTAGAGTGATTATGAGTTAATAGAATAAATATTTTTTCAATCCTTGTTGGAGGAATTAATTTAATTATTTTATTTTATTTTATTTTATTTAACTCCCATTCAATCTGAGATTAAAGAATAGAACATTTTATATAATTAATTGGGGACATTCATCGAACATGTATCAAATTCATAAATCCAAAAAATCACCTTCTTTAAAATAGCGTTTTGGTTGCATTAATTTGGAATGAAACTTATATTTGATTTTAGCTCAATACATCCAAAGATCATATGTATATTTCTCAGTGGGACAAATCTACGAACACCATGAGCGCATGAAGCAACTACCTATTATATTATGCGAAAAACATCAATAACCCAAAAAATCTGCAACTAATTTAAACAAACAAACACAATCAAACACAAACAAACAGAGTGGCAAAACTGAATCAATCATCAATCAATTAATTAACCCATAAATCTAAATCTAGCAATATAGAGTATTTCAGAAACAAACCTGTAGAATTTGATATTGATTGACAGAAGAGAAGAACTAGAATTGATGTTGGCATGTAATGGAGTGACCAACATCCATCCATAATCTGAAGGGAAGAATGTTGGTCACTCCAGTACAAACTAACATAGTCCAGATAAGTTTTTAATCGTAGGTGCCCGGCCATCTGCAAATCAGGACAATTTATAGACGTGCGTTAAATGACGAGATAAGTGAATATTACTAAAGTGTCCTTATGATGTCAATGTTATTACTTACATTCATGAACTCCTAAGGAAACCCTAAACTCATAGTACTACTTTTTCACTATTCAGCGAATTGCTTAGAAGATGAATTTACTTTCTTTTAGAAAAAAATAAAAAATAAATTATTTAAGGTCTGTTCGGCGGTACTAAGTGTTTTAACGGTTGTTAGTAGTTTTAGTTAGCCGTTAGATATTAGCTATTTATATAACTGTTTAGAGTAAAAATATTTGATAAAAATAATTATTTGATTAGTTGTGGAATTTAAAATGATAAAAAATGATTTATAATTTATATAATGTGTTATTATCTTTCTATCCAAAAAAATGTCAATCTCCAGTGTGTAGTCCAATTATATAAATTGAAATCATTATCATTTCTAAAATAATAATACAATTTCCTCATATATTCCTCTATTAATTAATTATTAAATTATTTTGTTTAAATTTTTATGTAAAATAATATAATTTTTTAACTTAATTATATATTTACAATATAAACTATTATTAATATAAGTTAATTAAGGATAATATAAATTAATTAAGGATAGAATTATCAAAAAAAAATTTCAATCAAAAAATAGAATTATTAATTAAGGATAGAATTTTTTTCATAGTTAAAAAATGTGTATAAATTATGATTAAATTAATAAAAATAGAAAAGGTAAAAGAAAAATAAATAATGCTATAAGGCATATAACATTGGAATGAAAGCTAAGATATACACAAGCTAATAACTTGTATAGTATGGTTTGCTAAACAGCATAGGATATTCTTTGATGTGCTCAAAAAATTACATACAAACGGTAAAATGTTGCCTAGTCTGAATTTTAGATAACTGAGAGAAAAAAGAAAAGAAAAGAAAAGAAAAGAAAAGAAAAGAAAAGAAAAGAAAAAGAAAAATCTCCATTGAAGCATATGCCTAGCATTTATAAGCCAAATACCTGCAATTTTCAACAATAAATTTAATCTGCAATATCACGTTGTATAGATGAGCTCTAACAAATTGGATGGAATATTTTCCAACAAAGAAATTAGGATATTAAAAAATACTGTAGTTAATGGATCTTACAGCTGCAATGAAATAGATGAAAGATTGCAATTAAATTATTCACCAAAAAATAGATTGGTAGTTGGTAATATGCATTATGACACGTAGCAAGAAGTCATCACTTAAATATTGAGTGATAAAATTTTTATTTCAAATATTAATTATGGCCAGTTCAAACCACATGTGAGTATGAATATAAGAACTATTTTGAAGGTCATGGAGATTCCTCAACAGACAATTTGAACCAGGTTTGATCACCTGTAGAATGCAACAAAAGCTTTGGTGAAAAGGTGAGATCAAAGAAAATTGTAGAGAGGAGAATGAAAAGTAAAATAGATTTGAAACTGATTGAAACACCAAGAGTAGGCTGTAACATAAAATGAATATCTCTAATTTAGTAATTGATTTGTAACTCGATCTATTCCGTCGTATTTTATAAATCTGAATTTTCATCCTTTTCCGTCTCGAGACGAGATGAAACAGGATTACGTACTTATTAGAACTGTATTGAGACTCTATTTTTTACATCTTGATACTTTGGGATTGATATCTTTTTCCTTAAAAAAAAAAAAATTATTTTCTGCTTTTATTGCCTTGATGAGGCATTAAGTATACATATATATTTGTGTATGGATGACAGTATGTAGCGATTGCGAAACCAAGATTTTGTGTTGATTAGGGTAAAAAACCAATATATATGTACACACTCACAATTGTGTATGCACATTGAAAAGTTTGTTTGTTGGTAAGTAATTGGCTTAATATGCAAAGCTGAGAGGTTAGGGGGTCGGACTATGGATAGGGTAGTTTAGGGTACTCAAGCTTCTATTTAAATAAAGTTAGAAACTTAACAAAAATTTGCAGCATATCTTCGTAGGTCTTGTTCGACCAGAAGTTTTCACATGGCGTTTCTATTATTAATAGTGTTTGTTGGTGCAGCGTTTAGAGTTTTAAGGAGTGAATTATAAAATTTTCGTCCAATGTCCTTTTAATGTTTGAGAAAATGCTAGTTGTACAGCTAAACAAGTCCAGTAAAAAATTAACGTTAAGAATGTTATTCTGCGGATTATGTGGGCCATGCGCTTTAAGATTCTTGGCATATTGTATGTGGCATAACTATCTCAATCAATGAAATCAACTATGTTTCTCATAGAATTTGATTAGCTACTTATCATTTTGTTTTATGGTTCTTTATGGCATTAAGAAAGGGCTCCTAACTAAGTCACACAGATGGTAATTTTGAGCCTATTCTTTCTTTCTTTGACTCTCTTAATGAAACCAAATTTACCAATTAGCTCTTATATTACTAATTCATCACTTATATGCATTGCATCTTCAATTTGGTTGGTGTTTTTGATTAGATTATAATTTATGGATAGATTGTTCAAAGACCTAATTAGCATAAATTTATAATATAAAGTGTTTATCTATTTTTACCATTTTATAGGCTTTTTTTTTTTATGACCAGGAGTTGAAGTCTCATAGAGTATAAAAGTATGGGATCAAATTTGTGTTTCAAATATTACATGAATTTATGTTGTTTATTACTCCAATCAATGCCTCCTTAGTGGTGACCATACTATAGATTCAAAAGTTCTAGTAAAACACGAGTTTTATTTTGTGTAAATTGTAGAAAATACACTATTAATATTTGCTTTGTTTGAATTATCTCTATTTCTAATAAAAAATTATAGTTGACAAAAAGAAAAATTATAATTTATCCCTGTATTTTGTTATAGTTTCAATATTGCACTTTACAAATACATTAATACTTTTTTTTTGTTAAAAAAAATATTATTTTGTCTTTATATTTTATCAAAATTAACTAATTTATTTATATTATTTCTTAAATATTTCGTCCTTGTATTTTGCTAAAAATCAACTAACATGTCCTTGTATTTAACAAAAAATGTAACGACAGTCATATATTTTCCCTGTCATATTTTTTTCCCCGAATATAAAGATAAAATAGTAAACTTTAAAAAAAAAAAAAAAGGCTTAAAAGCCAGCTAAAAGAAAAATTATAAGCCTATTCCTTTCATACATAACATGCCTTCTATAATTATAAGCCATTGTCCCGTTTGAAATTATAATTAATTTCTTAATTTTCTGATATACCCTTTTCACCAGCCCCCGAATCTAGCTAGTGAATAAAAAATTAAATCTACATCGAATCTCATAAACTATGATATTGTTTCATTCTCCCTTGACACTTTTGTCCCTAATAAACAATTGAAACCGCCTGACATTAACACTAATATTTGGTTAATCTTAAAATAAATTAATATTTGACTAAGAAACGGCTGCGCCGTTTTGACTGAGTGTTTCAGACAATTTGATGTAAAATGATATCTGCTAATGTTAATGAATCGTTCTGAAAGCGTCCGTCCACAAGTTGTCGTGTGCGCTTCCGGGGTCACACGATGTGACAACTCGCTATATGATAGTATTTTATATTTTTTTTTATTGAGAGAATATATAAATCCATTTATCTACTTTCTAACTTTAATCTCGCCATGCTCTAAATTTTATAGATTACATGTACTGTATTTGAATTTGAAAATTTTATTAATATTATATATTTTTCAACACCAATATTAATAAGTTTAAGATTTTTGGTTTTTATTTATAAAATATTGACTTCACATGTATTTAAAATGATTTTTGGAATAATAGTTTTTATAAATTTTAACTTTTTAACGAGTATTTAATTGATATAATTTTACAAGTTAAAATATTAAATTGAAGTGTTTAATATGTATAATTTCATAAGTTGAATTATTTGATGAGTCAAAATAAAAGTTCATAGTGTCACAAGGTTAAATTAATAAAGTTTAAGGGTGAATTTATGTGTTGGCCTTTTCTTATTTGATTTTCTTCGATAAATCTTTTATTCTTGAAGAAGATCCTTAGCTTATTGTAGAATTGTATTCAAACCCTAAAATTTAACCTGAATTACTAATTCATCCTTTTTTAATCAATACATTAAGAAGTTTAATATTTATTATTAATTTTTAATAGAAAAGCAAAGCTCACCAAGGAGTCAAAATTAATTTTAAATTAAGTGGCCATGCAATTAAAACCAATAAATAGATATTTGCAACGATAAACTTGAGATTGCTCTTAGCGTAGCCACAAAATTCAGTAAAGAGACCCACCTAAAATATATAGTTTACAAAAATAATATATATTATGAAATAAATTCTTTATTACACTATTTTTTTAAAAAAAGAAGATAAACTATTATAATTAAATTGCAATAAGTCTTGCCTGTTTTTCATTGATTGAAATCTATTCATGATAATTTTATTGTTAATACTTGTAAATACGTCTCTTTCAATATAAGTCACTGGCTCATCTTTCAATTTATTACAAAGTGAACTTTTGCAATGATTTATGAATAAAAATTCATGCTTTTTATAACAAAATTAATTAATTTGTTAAAATACTACAACTAGATTGGATACAATGTGCAATTCCGTAGAAAAGTACAATTTAAAATTAATTTGTTAAACTCTCTAAATTGCAATTTACTAGGTTCAATATTGTAGTCATTAGCCCCTAAAACCATCCAGAATCTTCATATATATATAAGTAAGTATATATTTATGATTTTAAATAAAACAAATTTGCAATTTTACTAGGTTCAAATATTGTAGTCATTGCCCCTAAAAAGCCAATCCAGAATCTTCATATATATTATATATATATATATATATATATAAGTAAGTATAGTATTTTAAATATATTTATGATTTTAAATAAAACAAATAAAAAAAATTTTAAACTTAACATTTTTTATTTCTTTATATTAATTAAAAAATAATATTTTATTATTATTATTTACGAAACAATGTGTTCCAATCTATATCTATACTGTATATATGAAACAACCGAATTTATATTTTCAAAGATTTTCCAATTAAATTTAATGCACCGACAACCTGGAAAATTCATAGTAATATTTTAGTGCGAGTACTATGAGAAATCGAACCGAAAACCGATTGAAAAAGCCGAAAACCAGTTAAAAATCGAAGATTTGGGCCGAACCGAACCGAATCGAACCGGTTCGACCCAAACCATCTAGAAAACTCTTCTCCCTCTATATCCAGCACACCTTCTCCCTCTATATCCAGCACACGCCTCATCTCTCCTCACTCACTCCCTACGCCTCCGACCACCCAGCAACACCACAGCGCCACCACCCTCCTCCCTCTTCTTCTTCTTCTTCTTCTTCTTCTTCTTCTTTTTTCCCTTCCTTCTTTCGCTTCTTCCTCACTGCACCTGCGTCCCTAGCGAGGCAGCAGCAGCTCACGCCACCCACGTCGCGCGCCACCCAGTCCTCGCCGCCACAGCCCTTGCTGCAGTTCGGCTTCGCAGTAGCTCCGCTAGCAGTCCCTCTTCGTCCTCGGCCAAACTGTGCGGCGCAGCACAGTCCCCTGCTCCCGATCGGCGAGACGCAGCGCCTCCTCTACTTTGTCGCGCCATCACCGGCCTGCCGCCGCTCCAGCGTGCCTCCGACCACCAACAGCCACTGCTCTCCGATCCGGCACGCGTGGAAATTTCCGATCTAGCAGAAATTCGACAAAAAATTATTATTGGGGTATAATTAATTTAAATACATTTTTGTAAATTAGTTTGATTTTATTCATGGTAGTTAATTAAATTTAGTGTAGTCATTTTAGTTAGTTTAATTTTAATAACTTTTAGTTGATTAATTTAATTTCTAGTTAATATTAAAGTTAATTAAATTAATTTATTATTCAAAGTTAATTTAATTTAGTTAATTTAATTTAGTAATTGAGTAGTTAATAGATTTAAATTTTTAGTGTTGATTTAATTTTAGGTAGCTTTAGATATTAATGTTATTGTAATGTATAATTAATGGTGTTGGTTGATGTTGAGATTGGATGGATAGATGGAAAATTTTGATTGATTTGATGCCCGAGGATGGGCTGTTTGGTTTTGGGAAATATAGACTATATTGTTTGATATTTTAACAGGTGGATCAGTCAATTTTTAGGGGAGATGGGAGATGTTGCCGAAATTTCGGTAGAAATATAAAAGAAATTTCGGTAGAAAAATAAATAAATTTCGGTAGGAAATAAAATACAAGTCAGAAGAAAATAAATAAAATAGTGTTCGTGTAATACCCCAAATTTTTATTTTTAAAACTTTAGAATTTTTATTAAATCAAAAATCCGAATTTTCTTTTTATAGTATGGGTTGTGAAGACCGAGCATTTCTAACTTAAGCCCAAATTTGAATTGGGCCCAAGCCCAAAAACAGTTTGAATTGGGCCCAAGCCCAAAAACAGAACGTTCGGAAATTTCGATGAAATAAAATGGAACTCTACGATATAAACTAATTATCCTAAATTTATTGTTATTATTATTTGTTGTACTATTAGAACGTAACTTGAAGAGATGTTTTATGACCCAACTAAATAATTAAATAAATTAAATCGGACCTAAAAATCAAATTAACTGTGTCGAAACCACACGAATAATCGGAAAACCGAGCGAAAAACTCATAAACCAAATGAAATGAGACCAAATCACTGAATCGGACAGAACCGGTTCGAATCGAACCGGACCTGCCCATTTCTTTTCTTTTCTTTTTCTTTTCTTCCTTCTCCTTCTCCAGTTGCACGACCTCCTCCTCCTCCTCCCTCTCCTTCGATCTCCTTCCTCCGGTCACCAAATCCGGCAAATGAATACTCTAAAAACATCAACTCAACGCAAGGAAGAAGAATATGGCTTTGACTTGAACTGAAACTGCATCTATTTTGAAAGGAAAGAGCTTGAAGTTTTGGCACCATAGCGACACCTTTTTTCCGGCGATTCACGCCGTTTCAGGCAAGTCTAGAGCGCAAGGTGAGTACCAAATGACTCCTCTCTTCTTCCTCTTTCATTTGATGGCCTTCTTCTTCCTCTTTCATTTGGTGGCCTCCTCGTCGACTGTAATAGCCGGAATCGAAAAACCCAAAATGGGTTTCACCAAACCTTTCCGGTCAATTTCCGGCCAAATAGTTCATACTCACCTTGATTTGAATACATATTAGTGATCCTCTAATATTAGTGATCCTCTCATCGAAACGAATAAAATGATATATTGTTTGTTAATTTTGGTGAAGATTTGACTTTTTCGGCCACCGTGCACGGCGGCGGCTGCGGCGGTCCGGCGACCGGCCGGCGAGGCTCCAGCGAGGACTTCAAAGGCAGCATGTTCTCCTCTTCGCGCGGATCACGGAAATCAAATCCGATTTTCGATCGGTACACTCTAAAGCTTAATTAGCAATTTTTGAATAAATCCCGAGATAATTAATTAATGAATTTAATTAAGTAGTTAAATAAATTAAATTGGATATTGTTAAATATATTCCATGAATATTAATTATAACTATAAGATCGGTGTTGAAATATAAATTTCTAGCTAATAATAATGTAAGTAAAAAAATTTATTAGTAAGTCAATAGTCTATAGCATAATTAATTTATAATTGAGAATTTAAATTTGAGTTTAAGAATACGTCCGATGAATAGACTGTGAATTGAATGAAAGAATAGAAAGAATGAATGATGGTTATGGCGGACGAGATGAGTTAATGTGAATTGCCCGATGGATGGGCTGTGTGTTGACATATGGTTTATGTAAAAATTTGGATAGTCTAGTTTATATAGGAAATGCTGCCGAATTTTCAGTAAACACTTAATGAAGAATTAAACTAGTTATATCTTTAATAGGTGATAACAATTAAAACTTTTATTATTATTATTATCATGGTATTTATTATTATTATAAAAATATTACTTACTAAATAATTAGAATGCTTTATTTAATATAAGTTATAAATTAGAATAATAAAATAAAATAAATAAATTGAACAACTATATATGATACATTAAGTTCGACAAATTAAAGATAAATAGCTATAGAGCCTTCAAAAAAAAGTGGTAACGAATGCAAAGTATATTTATGAGGTTAGGATTTTTATACAGGATTTTCTTTCTAGATGTGTATGAGCTCCGGGATGGTGAGACAAAAGCTAGAAGGATGCAGTATTAGAGATAGTCCTTTAAAGGGCAATAAAGAACTGTGAGTAGTGTTAGATAACTAGTATCATCCGCCTGCATTCATGCATTCGCGGCTAAATGTTATCATGCATTATTTTGTTGAATTGCCATATTATGATGCACCATTTGTTGATATTAAAAATTGTCTGATTACTTGTGCTATGAATATACTGTGCCTTGTTTGTGTGGCTTGTTTGTGTGGAATTGGTGGATGACGGGACCACCATGGGTTTTGTGAGGACGATCTGGTTGATGTTGGATCCTGGAATTATGATATTGATATGAAATTTGGACCGTCGGCCGGGAAATGGGAAGATCAAGCGCCCCCGTGTTGCGACCTGATAATATGGATGGTATTGGAAAACCACAAGATGGCTTCTTGTTGTTGTTGCAACCTGATAATCTAGATTTGATTTGTAGCCCGCAGGGTGGCCTCCTGTTGTGAGCACTTGATGATCTAGATTGGATGGAGGAACGCACCCGGGTGCCTCTGTTGGGTATGGAAAAGAAAAAGGAGGAATGGGAAAACGGAAAAGAGAGAATGGAAAAATAATGAGAGGACTGGTCTAGGTGAGGGATTAGACCAGTTGAGCCGTTATGGGGGATTCGGCTCCCCGGTGCACATGTATGAGAGGGCGAGCCATGTGTGAGGACGGCTCGTTGGGGGTTTCAGGTGGTGCCACTGACTAATTTCCCACGGTGATGTGATTATATGAAGAGTGATGATACTTGTGAGCTGTCTGTATTGCCATTTGGTGACAAACATGGCGATGAATCATATAATTAAATGGTAACTAGATAAAAATATTAGCATCTGAAAATATTTTAGCATCTGTGTGACTGTGTGGGGTGAGAGGGTTATCTAACCCTACTCATTGAGTTTGGCGCTCACCCCTGCCTACTTTTTTTTTTCCAGGTAATAGAAAGAAAGGAAAGCCCTATGGAGTTGAAATACTTATTATAGAAGACTTTTAATGATAGAAATAACGATGTGAATGTAAAGGTAGAGTTCCGCAATTGTATTCCAGTTGGTTTGTAAATAAATAATAAAAGTCCATATTACATATATGAACTGTATTTTGAATGCATATGTATAATAAGTAATGGGCCTGAATCTATAATAAGTTAATGGGCCTGAATCCATAATTATGAACAGAATGTGAGATTTAAATAAGTTAGGTTTACTACGGGCTTCGGGGGCCTTAAGCCCACCCAGGTCCTAGTGCCGGTCCGGCCCACGGAAATGGGTCGTGGCAGTTCAATAGAAAAATAAATTATTATAGAAAAGAAATTAAATCTCAGGATTAAATTACGTAGAGAAGTTAGAATATAAAATGAGATTTTTAGAGTGTAAATAAATATTTTGTCTGATAAAATTATTCTTTTTGTGTCGTTCTTGTAATATAGTTACTTTTGTTTTGTGTCATTCTTAAATTCCTTAGATTGCTCGGGTCCGTCTAGTGCTCCTCCCGGACTGAATCAAAGCTAGAGCTTCGTCCTCCATCACTGTGAGTAATAATAAATAATGCATGTCAACACTATATTTGCATAACATTACATTTTTTATGTATTTATATATTGTATTTTATCATACATATTATGTTATGATCACTATAATTATACTTATATGTAATTGTGCATTTGGATGAATTGGTGTATTACGTTGAATGACTTGTTTGATTACTTGTGCTGTGTATATACTTTGTGTGGAATTGGGATGAAGTGGGTCACCATGGGTTTGTGAGAATGGTATATGTGATATGGATCCTGAATATGATATGAAATTTGGCCGGGTAAATGGAAGATCGGCGCCCCGTGTGCACCTACTGCTATGATCTGTGTGATATGGAAAACCACAGGTTGGTTTCTTTATTGGGCGCACCTGATTTGATCGCAGCCCGCAGGGTGGCCTCCTGTTGTGAGCGCTTGATGATCTAGATTTGATGGAGACGACCGGGTTACCTCCTGTTGGGAATAGAGAGAATGGAAAAATAATGAGAGGAGAATAGAGGAAATGAAAAAACAATGAGGAGGGAGCGTCAAGTGAGGATTAGGACAGGTCGAGCCAGTAATGGGGGATCGGACTGCCCTGGTGCCACATGCGACGAGGGTATGGGGGATCGACTCCCTGGTGCACATGCGAGAGGATGAGCCATGTGGGAGGACGGCTCATCGGGGGTTCGGTGACTCCACTGACTAATTTCCACGTGCTGTGATTATCTGAAGGTGATATTGTTTGTGGGTGCTGATGTTATGCCATATGTCTCACCGTTGTGTGTTCATTCAGTATATTAGGGTGCATTTCGCGTGACTGAATGTGGTGTGTATTATTTATTATTATTCACTGAGTTGCAAAAGTCACCCCCTTTTTTCTAAACTTCTCAGGTAATAGGAAGCTGCTGATTCAACTGAAGCTCTGTCATTTTTCTCGCAGAGCTACAAAAAGTAAATTTATAACTTTTGTTATTATGAGTTAGACTGTGCTATTAAATATGTACACTTCTCCATTTCCTAATTGTTGTTGAACTCCGCAGTTATAGGGTTGTGTATTTCAATTGGGTTTTACTGCATGCGTTATTTTATAAATGTGACTTATCATGACTAGGTCCAAACTAGACTTTAATTGAGATGTTTGAAATTGGGCCAGATTGCATAATATCTGTATCCTAGTTTGTATGGACTTACTGTTCCTGTTAATTGGTGTGACTGGTGTTAGTAGAGTAGTTTAGGCTTACTACGGGCCTCGGGGGCCTTAAGCTTACCTGGGCCCTACTGCCGGTCCGGCCCACGGAGTCGGGTCGTGACAATATAAAAGCAAAGAAGTCCATTTTTAATGACAGCTAAGTATAAATCTCTCAAATTGCCAAGGAGAAAAGTATTGTAATGACAGCTAAGTATTGAGCATAATTGTAAGAAGATAAGTTGTAATGACAGCAATTATAAGAAGATAAATTATTTTATTTTTTCAAATAATGTCATATAGGGAAAAAATAAAAGAAAAGAAAACCAAACTAATATTAATAAGCAAAACCTATTTTATTTGCAAATAAGAAAGAAATACAAGGGAAGAGAATTCCCATAATTTTCTCTTCAAATTAAAAGGAAAATAAAAAAATGTAAAAATTAATTTGTAAAGAAAAATTAATTTGATTTTTCTTTTATATCAAAAAAAATAATTAACATAAGTTTTTTCCAAAAAAAAATTTAGTTCCTTCTTATTTTTTCTAATCATTCATTAGTAAAAAAAGACTCAAAAATAAATTTAAAAAAAAAACACTTCATTTTTTCTTGGTAATAAAAAAACTTTGGTTGATTAGCTTGGTGTATGGAGTAGTATCATATACCAGGAGATAGGTTGCAAGGACAAGGGACAAGAAATACGAGAACATACGCAATATGATAATTTTCAAAAAAAGGACATCCACACCCTTAGAACAATTATACTAAATAAGTATAATATATTAATATTTCAAATAAATAAACAATCATTTATACTAAATCATATACATAAAATAAAAAATACTTGATTTATTATTTCAATATAATTATTTAAATTCTCAAAATTATTATCACTATTGAAAAATGTGTGCATGTTTTTATGCAGGTCATACTAGGGGTGTCAAAATGGGTCATGACACGTGGACATGATTCGCCTAATACGCGAAATACTTGGTTTAAGGTTAAACGTGTTCACGTCATAAACGAGTCACCCATGACACGAATATAAATGTATCGTGTCGCGGGTTAGACAAGTCATCCGTTTATTTAAGAGTAAAGAGATAATTTTAGTGTTAGATATAAATACTCTAATTAAAACCTATTTAAATTTTATTGTTTTATTACTTTTTTTTATTTTAGATATAAATACCTCTAATTTTAAAACCTATTTAATTTAATTGTTTATTACTTTTTTTTTATTTTTAGTTATGAAATGTTGAAAGAATTTATGGAAGAGTAAAGAGATAATTTTAGTGTTAGATATAAATACTCTAATTAAAACCTATTTAAATTTTATTGTTTTATTACTTTTTTTTATTTTAGTTATGAATGTTGAAGAATTTATGCATTTTATGTATCAAAATTTATTTTTAAATATGATTAGAGTTAAATAGGTTAAAATTTAAAAATATTATAAATAAGCTAAGTGCATTGTATATAGGTCAATACGATCTACTTAACTTGTTTATAATATTAAGCGGATTACAAGGTTGTATACGTGTCAATATGACCAACTTAACCTATTTATCCTATTAGGCGGGTTAAATGTTTTGTGTTCATGTCACATGCTTAATTTTCGTGTCATATTCATGTTGGTAAATTTAATACAATTTTTAAATTGATCGTATTTGTGTTGACCCTAATCATGTCGTGTGTTATACAAATCCGTGTTGAACTTGACACGCGAACCTATTTTGACACCCCTAGATCATATCATGCGTGACTTTTGTCATTACATACTTGGTAAAAAACTTCGAAGGATACTTAACAAAATACACCTTAGCATTACAACTTTTTTTACTATATCTCAATGAGATATAATTTTGTAATGCATTTAACGATCATTTTGTTATACAATTTTATTATTTTTAAATGATGTTATAAAAAATTATTTCATCCTTTAATATTGTTCTGTGCGTCGCGCGAATTCTAACACTAATAATACTAATATCAAAGAATTTAATTCTAAATAAAAAAATAAAAAATTCTTCCCAAGTTCAATACTTGTTTTTAAGATTCATAATAATTAAATTGATTCATTTCCATTAAATTTATTTATTTATTTATTTATTCTTTATAATTTAGGTATAAGGAAAACTATTTAATTTTATGTCTTCTTGTCACGACCCGAAACCAAGGGCCAGATCGGCAATAGAGCCCAGGTAAACATTAAGCCCCCGACCCGAGGCCCGTAGTAAGCCTAAACCATTAAAATTCAATCATATCAATATGAATCTCAAATAATCAGCCCATATTACCATGTATAGTCAATCTCATAGTTATATTATACTTTGGCCTGTAACATTTTAAACATTTTATAGTTTGGGCCCAATTATAATACAAAACATCCTTAACGTGGGCTAATAGATTCATGCATTCACAAAAATAAATAACTAAACCTCCTCATCAGTTTATCGATTACAATCCTACAACTGCGAGTTCACTAACAAATAAATATAAATATATTTTAATACATATAGTTACATAACTTAAATAACTGTAGATTCTAAAAGTTATTTTTCTAGTTCTGCGGGGAAGGAGAATGAGCTTTAACCGAAACAAAGAAGTATCTACTACCTGGAAAAGTTAAACAAAGAAATGTGAGTCTAATAATGAATTGTGATTATTGCATAACACAAGCATTCACACGAAATGTTTCCTATATTACTAGAATGAACACCCATCCAATCAAAAAAATGGCACATCATCAGCATCCATAAATAATCACACCTTCAAGTAATCAAACACGTGGAGATTGGTCAGTGGCGTCACCGAAACCCCTGATGAGTCATCCTAACACGTGGCCCATCCTCTCATGATGTGTGCACCAAGAAGCCGATCCCTTATACTTGGTCGACCGGTCTAATCTTTACTTGACCAACCCTCTCATTTCATTTCAATCATTCATTCTTTTTTTCTTTTTTTTTTTTTTTTAATTTTTTTTTTTTTTTTTTTTTTAATACTCTCTTTTCTTTTTCATACCAACAGGAGGCTATTCTGTGGTTTTCCATATAATCCATATCATCAGGTGCACACGGGGGCACCAATCTCCCCATACATGGCCGACGATCAAATTCCATATTATCATCAATTTCAGAATTGTCCTCACAAACCCATAGTGACCTATTTCATCCCAATTCCACACAAACAAAGTGTAGCAATGTCACAACACAAATAATCAAACATCGCATTTAAATGCAAGCATATCAATTAATTAAACCCTATCATGCAAGAATGCAAATAGACATTCACATACCAATTCAAATAAATATAAGAGTATTAAATAGTAATAATATAATATAATATAATAATTGTTACTTGAAAAATACATAAATAAATGAATAATAAAAAAAATAATTGAACACAAATCTCTATATAGTAATGTTTTATGTATGATGCAACTGGTAATGCACTATTTATTATTATTTTCTAACTAGATGGGAAAAGACTGGTAATGCACTATTTATTATTATTTTCTAACTAGATGGGAAAAGACTCAAATTTCAATTCTAACTTATCGAATCAGTGAACCAACTAGAACGATCTAAACGAAATGAAAATTCAAAGGGGAGAAAAGAATTGAATAAAGTACCCTGCTAAACAAAAATAAAGGCTTGTCCTAAATAATCCGATAACCTATTTAGCAAGTAAAACTGATCTGGATTTTGTCGAAATTTTGACAAAATCTCCCCTACAAATAGGACTATCCACCTGTTTAAATATCAATAATTTTATTAAATATCCATTCAACCCACACAGCCCATCCGTCGGGCAACCGATCAAGTCAAATTCCCCATCCTCCTTTATTAGCCACATCACCATACAATAATAAATTCTCATAGCCCATCGGACAATTCACAACAACTAATCTCGTCTGCCATAGCCAATATTCATTCGTCTAAACATTTACTCAATTCATAATTAATACCAACTAACATCATATTCTTAGTTTATCAAAACGCTATATAATTACATTATCAAAATAAACAAACCTCAAATAGTTCTTTTTCCATATTTGAGCTATAGGTTAATACATTATTTTATTAACAACTAAATTGTATTTTAATTAAGATGAGTAGTTGCTTGTTCTTAGGTTTATAATTTATACTTGGAAGTGTTAAGGTTCAAGGTTATATTTGTATAGAACTAAACTTCTTCAACTTTAACTCACAACAGTAATCGATACTAATTAAAGTAAATTAACAAGCTAATTAATTGACTAAGTCTTTCTAAGATCACGCTAATTGCTATTTCATCCATTTCTGCGATTTTCTTTTTTTTTTTTTTTTTTTTTTTTTTTTTTTTTTTTTTTTTTTTTTTTTTTTTTTTTTTTTTTTTTTTTAAAGCTTTGAAGCCTATGTACCAAATTTGCATTACTTTATAGATTATTAACTATTCTAAGTTTATTAACTATGTTTCCACATATATAGAATTAAATATATATAGAATTAAATAGCTAAACAATTCTAATTGCATATTCAGAGTCCACATGACAAGTTCAACATTTTACCTAACATTTCAAAGTCCTTCAATTAATTATTTATTAGAAATCAACTAAATCACCCGATAATTTTAAATTTGGAATTTGTACCAAAAATAAGGAACTAGGTCTTAGAACTTACCAATCGAAAATCGGACTACGATTCCACAATCTGCACGAGGAGAAGATGATTCTGCCTCTAGGGGCCTCGCCGGAGACTTGCCGGCGATTCGCCGGATCGCCGCTGTCGCCTCCATGCACGGTTGCCGGAAAATCGAGATCGCCCAGAATTTTGCAGCGATCCCAATGTTCGACTCGCAATTTCATGAGGAGTTCAAATCCACCTTCCGTTTGCAGAGCTACTAGCTCGTTTGGCCGAAATCGAGCCTGAAGTCGCTGTATCTCCACTGCTCATGGTGGTTTCGTCCTCCATGCTCCATCAACGGAATTATTTTAGGGAAAATGATCACGTGGAGGAAAGGGATCGACCGGCGCTCACCTCATGACCTGAAGCCGCCGGAATCGGCAAGGATTGACGAGAAATCGACTGTGGCACATCATCGTTCTTCATCTCCTTTTTGCGTTAAAACCGACTGGAAATAGGAAGGGGAGTCGCTGGAGTAGTGCTGGTGAGGAAGAGGTGGAGTCGGCCAGTTATAAGCTAAGGTGGCCGGAAAATCGACGGAGAGGGAGAGAAACGGCGCTGGCGAGGAAGAAAAGAAGAAGAAGAGAAGAAAGAAAAGAAGAAGAAGAGAAGGAAAAAAAAAAAAAAAAGGAATAAAGGACTGGTTTCTAGACTTTAGGGTAAACCATTCCAGTTCGATTCGAACCGGTTTGGCTCAATTCAATGATAGTTCGGTTTTAAGCTTAGCTTTACGGGGTTTTCACTTTGATTTTCGAAAAAATTTCAAATTGATTACTGGTTTGGTTTAGCAAAATAAATACTTTTTCACTTGAATTTCATTGGTTTTATAATTTATAAATTAAATTTAAATGATAAATCTTTTGAAAACAATTTTTTGCGGTCATTTCACTTCAAAAAAAAAAAAAAAAAAAGGAAAAGACTGGTTTCTAGAGCTTTATGGGTCCATTCCAGTTCGATTCGAACCGGTTTGGCTCAATTCAATGATTTAGTTCGGTTTTAGCTTAGTTTACGGGGTTTTCACTTGATTTTCGAAAAATTCAAATTGATTTACTGGTTTGGTTTAGCAATAATAAATATTTTTCACTGAATTTCATTGGTTATAATTTATAATTAAATTTTAAATGATAAATTTTTGAAAACAATTTTTTGGGTCATTTCACTTCTAAAATCACTTATAATGAAAATATTTACAATGCCATTAAAATTTGAATTTATATATAGTTTATTAAGTAAATAAACAAGGAAATAGTTAATTTAAATTTTTTTAAATATTTATTTTTAATTGAATTTAAATGATATCATATTGAAGTATTTTATAAGAAAGGTTTTAATTATTTTTGTTATTTTTGGATTTAAAAACATTCCTTAAAATAATAAATTTATTGGAGTTTTATTAAGGGAAAATTATTTTTTCATCCTTGAGATTTTACAAAATTAATTAATTGGCATTCACATTTTTGTATATTAAATATCTAGTTCCTGGGATTTAGTGTCATCATGTTAAATAGTCCTTCCGTCCAAAAATAACTGTTTTTTTCATTAAATTAAGCTAAAAAAAGCAGGAGAGAGGAGAGAAAAAATTTTTAAATGACAATTAGTAGTATCCTTGATAAAATCCAGAATGACCATGTCCAACATTTCACAACCTTCGTCACCAAAAATCACAAATGGTTGCAGCCACCACCATAACCACCACTATCAACAAAAGAGACAATCACCTTTAAATCTCTCTACACAATACCATATCTTTACCTTCTCCTTTTACCATTCAAAAACCAATCAAGATTAATAAGATCAGGCTTCTAATTATCAAAGAAACCCAAAAATCAAATAATATTCAATATGAAATTTCTTCTAAAATATAATAACCCAAACAAAAAAACTCACTTCCCAAATCCGATATTGCTACAAAAGATGATCAATTTCAGCCACATCTGCTTACTATCTTCTTTAACTCTTAAACCACAAGCAAATGGAAAACCACATTCCAGCTTCAAAATCTACAAACCCACATGCTAGCAAAATCCCAAAATATAGAAACTCAAGTAGAAAGCATTTTAGATCCGATTAGTCTATGACTGTATTCGTTTAATGACGACTTGGTGGATGAAGTCTAAAATGTAAATCAAGACCTATTGATGATTTTTTAGCTTGAATCTGAAACATCTAATACACAGTTTAGTTGCAGAAAGAGCGCTTAAGGCATTAAAGATGTTATATATATATATATATATATAGTTAATTTTGTTGGGTATTTAACGAATTTATCCAAAGTCATATCTTAAATTTTGAGGGTTTGATTCTTATTGAAGGAATAAAAAATGGAGATGATGACAATTGATTGATAGTGTGAGAGATGTTGTTGTAGTGGGGCTGAACAAAAATGGGTTTACTAGATACATTTTAAAATCCAAATGTGTATTTGCAGTGGAGTTGCAGAAATAAAGATGATGTGTAGTTGCAGAACAAAGAGGTTTAAGAGACAGAAGGAGAACGAGAGATATAACGTGGATTGAACTTTTGGTCTAATATTTATTTTATTAAATATATGTTAGTCTTTTACGAGACATTTAATGGTGAAAATCACTAAAATGAAATGAAAAGACCATTTAATACGATGAAATTTCAGAGACTAAAAATTTATTTAAAAAATATAAATACAAATTAATTAATTTTGTAAAATTTCGAAGACGAAAATAATTATTTTCCCATTTATTAATTTAAAATAACCAAATCAATCATAATTCCATACCGCGAAAATCACTTAGGGAAAGTCGAATTGGACCAAACAGCCCCTTCCTCCTTTTCCATTACGCTACACAGCCGCTCCTCCAACCTGCGTGAATTCTCCTCCATTTTTCGGCGACTAAGCGACCAAAATCCGACCAGAGAAGCTGCAAACTCGACGGACTCGGCCTCCTCTATTTGCTGTTGACCTGTTTCTGCAAGCTGTGGCTTGTCCTTCGTTCGACAGTAGGGAGAAAGTAACGCAGTTTCAAATTCGCCTCACCTAGGCGATTAAGGGCGGTTTTCTCCGGTGGGGTAGGTGGGAAATTGATAATTTTTAACACTGTTATTTAGTTTATTTTGTTTAAATTTTTGAGTTTTTGATTGAGTATTCAAGAATTTTAAACCTAAGGTTGAAATTGATAAATTTAGGAAATTGATAAAATTATTTACAATTTGATGAAATTGAAGTTAGAAATGGGTTCTCCAGAAAATCTTGAGCGTTTTGACTATAAGATTATTTATTAAATTTGGTGATTGTTGGGTGTTCCGTCCACTGCTATCGACGGTTATGTAGTGTAATTATATTTTCAGGCTTGTAGCATTGATTTCAGGTATTGGTAATTATTGTTTCTGTGATCAAATTGTGCCAATGTAGGTGAATTGTGGATTACTTGAAGTTTTGATGATGAAATTGTCATCTTTTCTATAGATTTTATAAGAAGTCGGTCAAGTTTGGATGAAAAGCTGTTAATAATCAGTTAAAGCTACATTTGTTTTCTTTTCTTTTTAATCTTTGGTATTTTGAGAACAAAAGGCAATAACTAATATTTAAAAATGCTGATGTTAGATATCAAACTTAACATGCTCCTCTAAATGTAATAGCTGGTATAATTGCACACGATAATATGTCTCTGTTTGATTATTTGTTTGGAGCATTCATTAGAATATACAATATTTCACCCCAACAAGTAGAAGTTTATATTTTTCCGCTTAATATATTGAGTAGCATCCGAGTCCGTTAATTATAGCTGTGAAGTTGTATACTTGTAGCTGATACTTTTTCTGTTGTGTGATACTGATGGGTTCTTGATGAACTTGTGCATTTTTTTCATCTCCTTTGTCTTTTTTTCACTTTAGTTTTTTGCATCTTTAATTGTTGGTGTTTAGTTAATCAGACTTATCCATTTTCCGTGCTTTAATCATATATATTCATAACTATTTTGAGACTGCATTTGTCAAAATTCTACTTGGATAAAAACATTTGCAAGAGCATTCGATTCTTATTTTAACTACCTCTTCAATACTTTAAATTCCAATTTTCTGCATCTATTTATTTGTGTTCTCTTAAAACTAAAACATTTTGCTTACTTGAGAAAACTACATTAAGTACATCTTGTATTGCTTTTGTAAAAAAAATTATTGACTATTGAAGACCGAGGCTAATTTGGATTAACCAAAAAGTCATCAGATCAATTTGTTTGTGATTTAAGTTTTGTTTCAAGCTATGTTCTATAAAACAATATCAGAGTTATCTGTCGTTTTTCCTTGTCTGAGTGCAGAATGGGCTTCAAGGTGAACAATTAGGCCGTCCTAGTAGGTGTTTTCAAACATCATCAGCCTTTCAAGGTAACCTCAAATATTAATTAAGTTTTTCATTTTTCCAAATTCAATTCAAAATAGGATCCATAATATCATGTTGTATGCCTTATGTGAATATATGATATTCTAATTTGCTGAGTTATGTGAAAATGGGAGAATATCTTGAAGAGAATGAAATTGTATCTATTACCTTTTTTTTTTTTTTTTTTTTTTTGAGCACCTGCATTTGTTCAAAATTTCTACTTGGAATAAAAACATTTGCAAGGGAGCATTCGATTCTTATTTTAACTTACCTCTTCAATACTTTAAATATTCGGCATTTCTGCGATCTTATTTATTTGGTTGATTCTCTTAAATATCTAGAACATTTGGTGGTGCATTACTAGAGTAATTACTACAATTAGAGTTAGGCTATCTGCTATGCGTTTGTAAAAGAAATTATTGTTGGACTATATGAATAGACCGAGGCTAAATTTGGTTAACTTATATATCCATTAAAAGTCCTATCAATCTGATTTTGGTTTGTTGATGTAATGTTTTGTTTTGTATCATAGACTATGTATCTTAATATAAAACAATTTCATGTATATAATTGTCTTTCCTTGTCTGAGTGCAGTGAAGTATGACTGGCTTCAAGTTGTTGAATCTCATATTAGCCGTACTCTAGTAGGGTGTTTTCATAATATCATATTCAGCTCAAGGTAACCTCAAATAATTAATTAAGTTTTTCATTTTTTTCCAAATTCAATTTCAAAATAGGATCCATATATCAGTGTAGCCTTATCGTTGATATATGATATATCTAATTGCTGTATATGATGAATAATATGTGCGTGATTATTGTTATGAATATCTTGAAGAGGATATGAATGGAAGTTTGTATCTATTACCTTTTTTTTTTTTTATTATTTTTTTTTTTTTTTTTTTTATCATTGCATGTCAGGAATGTGATACAAGTATGGAACTTGGGTCTTTATCCTTTCTATTTATTTTTTTTTTTTTTTTTTTGAAAAAAAAAAGGGAAGAGACATGCATTTTGTCATTTATTCTCACAAACATATGCTTGATTTAATGATGTCTCATATGAAGCTAACAATTAAAAATTGTGTTGACCCAGATAAGTTTTGCTATTGCTACAACCATTGGTGATGACCCCATTGCAATTGATTTCACAAGAGTAGGAGAGGGTGATGTATGGGTGAATGAACAAAGCATTGGAGGTTATTGACCAAGAATGAGTCTCCAATTATCAATGTAATAGGACT